GGAAAGGAGCTTGCTCTTTTCCCAACAAGAAGTCATGAGGGTGACCCAAAAACATGGCTCCCGATTCAGGGCTAATTTCAGGTTTCAGATCAGGTGATGTGAAAAGATCTCCGCCTGAGAGAGCCATTGCCAATCAGAGTCAACAATACTGATACTGACACCCAGCGGGAGACAGGGGTCAGGAATATGGTGGAGGAGTTGCTGTTGGCGAAACTTCTGGGGGAAACTTGGAAGTGACATCACACTCCACAAAGAATCTCCAGAAACTCTTTCTGGCAATTCCTACAGCAGTGTGACATCTCCTATTGTGCTGATGGAAATTTTTAAATGTAATTTTTCTCTTGCTGGCCAACAGAGTGGCAGCAGGAAGCATGGGTTGCTGGTGGGAGACCTGGCAACCCTAAATACCGACCTTGATGGACCAATGGTTTGACTCTGCCTGAGAGAGCCATTGCCTAAGGCAGCTTCATGTCTTCACATGATGGGCCATAGATGAAAAATCATAGATCAAACCAATGGAGCACAAAGATACCTTCTCCCGTGGCCTTCATGTTAGAAGTGTTAATGGAAGAATTCCTTCTTTATGGCGAACACGGAACACTGAGAAAAACAACCTGCTGAAGTGAAAGTGTCTCGGGGCTTGCACTTTTCTCTCTAGGGAACACCTCTGTCGCAGCGGTTGCTTGGTGAGTGCAGGGAGTGGGAGGACATCTTCAAGATGGCACAGCAGGATTCTAACAACTAGCAGCAAACCGCCTGTCTTGTTATGAGAGAAATGCGTGGGTGGCCAGTGGAAGGGCTTGCATTTAGCAGTGTCTCAATCTGCGTGGGATCCCATTTCCTATCAGCAAGGGCTACACCGCCCTGTGTCCTGGGTGGAGGCTTTGCTGTCAACGTGACAGCATTCCAAAGTATGCAGCATTTTACTTTTCCACACAGGAATTAATAGCAACCATTCATGTCTTTGTAAGAAAGTAAAGGGGCAAGTCCGTATTTCTGGGAGCCCAGAGCAAGATACCCTTCAGTGCATCTCCTCTGTTAGGCTACTACTGCGCTCTGTGACGGTGGGCTTCTGTTTCCCACTCAGAGGCAGGGAGCAGGCAGTGGTGGATGTGTTGGTTTTGGGAAAGTGAGCTATGGCCCCGGGCACACAGGCCGGAAAATGCGGGGGGGAGGCGTGGCTAATTGCCCCAGAGGAAAATTACACGCGGCAGCCCAATCAGAAGTCCTTTCGAGGTCCCGCGGGTAGGCGTCAGGTGCAGATCAGACGGCTAGTCCGCAGTGCGGCAAAGAAGCAGCACGGCGCGTTCAAACCGGCACTCGCGCCGCACTGCTCCTGTGGCAAACGCCGCTTCCTGTTTGTGCGCATGCACCATTGGGTGCTTTTCCGCATCCTGCGGAGACTTGGGGGGGGGAATCCCCTTGATCACGATGAAACATCGGCAGCCGCCGGATGCCACGACAGTCCACCGGAAACGTGGTCAGACACCCACCCTTGCCTCGCGGTTTCCGGAAACTAGTACCTCGTAGGTACTAGTTTTTAACTCCACACCTTCGGCGGGGAGCCACGGGTTCACCATGGGAGCACTGCGCTTCCCAGATGTTAGGGTGTGATCGCACCCAGAAAATCCGCGGGACTCCCGTGCCTCTCCCGCGGCAACCTTGCCATGTGACCGGGGCCTATGAGTAGTAGTCCAATGCTCTGTCTAAGTTGTGGAGTCTTGTGAGCAAAAATTCTACGTTGTGAGCTACTAGCATTAAAGTTGTGAGCGAGCGATTTGGCTACTGCCTCAGTTAGTTTGCCTTGGAGCCATCCTTCCTGAGCTAAGACAGAAATGTGTGAGCTGGACGCTAAAAAACTGTGAGCTAGTTTACACAAACTCAGCTTAGAGGGAACAGAGTAGCAGCTAAGAACAGCCAACCAAACCATCCCAGAAAGAGTGGGCAAGTAAGCAAGTAGCTGCTCCTAGAGCTGCCACAATTAGTTGTTCATTCATCTGCTTTGGTGAGTGAGAAAGCAATTAGCAGTTGCACCAAAAAGCAGTCACCAACACTGTGGTTTGCCAACTCCAAGCTGGGAAATTCCTGAAGATTTGGGGGCAGAGAGAGAGTGGGATTTGAGGAGGGGAGGAACTCCAGTGGGGTACAGTGCCACAGAGTCCACTCTCTAAAGCAGCCATTTCCTCCGATCACTATAGTCTGGAAATCAGTTATAATCCTAGGAGATCTCCAGGCCCCTCCTGGAGTTTAGCAAACTACCACTACCACCTGTCCTTTGCCACTTGGTTGTCCTCTGCATGGGCAACTTCCAGATTTTGAGGCATGTAGCCGTTATAAAAATGTTAAATGACAATACACGAGACACGTAAAACATGTTGTGAAACTTATGTCAAAAAAATTACGAATCTCTGATTTGAAAGTTCCCTTTGAGCTTGAGGCCCAGACCAAATGACCCTTCAGGCTCCCTGCTGAGGAGGGAGACCCACCATAAAAGGCCCAGCTTCTCCCCATGTTTCAATCTTCACTGCTGCTCAGAGAGACAGGGTTTCGGTTGTCAGGTCCCCCCTGGCCACCAGCAAGGGACAAGGGGAGTAGGGTTACCAGATCCAGTTTGGGAAACTTCTGGAGATGTGGGGTTGGAGCCTAGGGAGGACAGGGACATCAGTGGGGTACAATGCCATTGAGTCCATCCTCCAAAGCATCCATTTCTCTAAGGGAACTGATCTTTGTAGTCTGGAGATGAGCTGTAATTCCAGGGGATGGGGATCCCCAGGTCCCACCTGGAGAACCAGAACAGCCATGTTTACATTGTTTGACTTATGCATGGGTAAATTCAAGAGCTGTGGTTCCAGAAAAATTTATGCCTGAAGATTTGTTCGAAACACGCAGGTTTTGCCTGGGAGGCGTGTTGCTAGGCCTGCTTGCTCGCTGAATCATCTCATTGGAAAATACATAGGGTTGCCAAGTGGCACTTACCTTGCCGGCAGGGGACTCCTGTGTGGATCCCGGCGCATGCGCACCGCATGCACGTCACAGGGAAGTGACGTCATGACGCTGGGCACGCTGGGGGCGGGGCCATGACCATACAAGGGAAAACCATAGAGTTTTCCCTTGTATGGCCGTGGCCCCGTCCCCAGCGTGCCCGGCGTCATGACGTGACTTCCCTGTGATGTGCACGCTGGGGCGGGGTTCCCTCCGGGGCCCGATTCCCCAGCCTCGGGGAACGGGCCTCTGGGGCGGGGGGATTTCCGCCCCCCGGGGGGACTTGGCAGCCCTAAAAATACATCCTTGGGAAATGTACAATAGGTTGCTGCATTGTTCGGTACAAATAACTGTACATTGGTATTTATCCTCCATCAGGAAGAAGACAGTTGGACTCTTCATGTTATATAACTTAGTTTGAAAGTGTTTGAAATGTGATGTTGTCATTTGAAAGTGTTTACAATACACTAGAGTTGATGTTGTATATAAAAAGCAAATATATTTAGCTATAAGTACATGTGAATATTGTGTTTATTATTTCAACACGGTGTTTTCTGTGTTTACCCACCTGGAGGCGGGCATCCCTAATTCAAGGGCTGACAGTGTGGGTATTCCTAAAGTCACCAATCTTCAGGTAGGGCCTGCAGTTCTCCCAGAGATACAATTGATCTCAGTTGGTTTAGACTGTACTAACTCTGTACAGGGTTACATGGATAGTCTCTTAAAATCATTGCCCAAATTCTCCGCCCAAACATCTTCACACTCTGTGTTCTTCCTTCCCAGCCTGTTCTTTTTCAAAAAAAAAAAAAAAAAAACCAACCCCAGGCAGCAATCCTATGCTTAATTTAGGGCTGTCAACCTCCAGGTGGGGCCTGGATATCTCCCAGAATTACAACTGATCTCCACACTATAGAGATCAGTTTCCCTGGAGAAAATGGTGGACTGTGTGGCATTATAGCCCGCTGAAATCCCTCCTTTACCCAACCCCTACTCTTTGCATACTTCACCCCAACATGTTTAGGAATTCCAAACCTGGAGTTCCCAGGCCTATCATGAGTCCCATTTAATTCAGTGGGGCTTTCTTCTGAGTTAATTTGCCCAAGGTTACAATAGGGGAGCAAGCTCTGCCAGTGACCAAGATAACTTTTTTGTTGGGGTGGGGGAGAAGTTTTTTAAAGACTTGCCAGCTCTCCAGAGCAAAACAACAACAAGCCACCCTCTTCCTTTTACAGTAATTTTAATGTTACTTACCAGGTGGTATTTACCACCACCACGCCATGGGAAGCTTCAGCTCCCCATTTCCACACATTTTAAAGTCCCTATTAAAGGGGAAAGGACGTATTTCTCCCTGGCCTTTTGGGAACCTTATTTTTAAAGCACTGCCATGAAAAGGCATCTCTGTTTTACATTTATTCCTATGTAGTTACTGTACTCTACAGAGAATTTTAACCAGGACAAGAAAAAAGTTATGAATTGTTTTATATTTGCCACAGTGGTGGTCTCTTGCAGCAAAAATTAACAGGAGTCTTGCGGTTCTTTGGACAACTAACATGACCTCCTGATGGCACCTGGTATTTCTGGCCACTGTGTGACACAGAGTGTTGGACTGGATGGGCCATTGGCCTGATCCAACATTGGCTTCTCTTATGTTCTTAACATTTTTATTTCAGTATAAAGTTCCACAGACTAGAGCACATTTCCTCAGATACATTTACGGGCTGTGGCCCAAGCAAGTTTATGCTAGACTGAAAACTTGCTGATCTTGAAACTGTCACAAGACTCCAGTTTAATACCTCTATCTATACATCTCTTCAAACATCTGTCACAAACTCAGAGCACCGATTTACTCCTGCCCCGCCCCTCGTTTCTTGTTTCAGTACCCGGATAGAACAGAACGAATCTTCACAAGTGACACTACGCCATGAGCGCATGCGCTCTGACTGAAAAGGGTAGGCGTGTTACCGACGAGGAGGAGGGGACACGCCGAGCCGGCCGAGGGCAATAGCGCGCAAGCGCGGTGGCGGTGGCCTGAGATTTAAAGGGACAGGCGCAGAGGCTGTGCCCCTTTTGGGGTTTCCCCCTTTTTTATTCCTTTTCGGGCGTTCCAGTCTGGGAAGATGGTTTGCGGGGGCTTCGCCTGTTCACGCAACGCGCTCTGCGCCCTCAACGTCGTTTATGTGGTGAGTTTGCCAAGCAGCTCCCTCCTCTACCTCCCCTGGCCTAGTAAGGGGTGTAGGGTGGGGTTAATATAAAGGGGCTGCGAGGAAGGAGGGATGGAAGCAGGAGGAAGGCTGGGTGGCCTGGCTGGGAGAGTCTGCATGGAGCGGGGGGGGGGGGAGTTTTGGGGCGCAGCTGCTTTAGGGTTAGCTCCATGAAAGGGCAGCTGTTTCCTTGGGACGTGGCTAGGGGGGCAGAGGAGGGTGCCCTAAATGTACTTTGGGATGCCCTGGGTCCTTCTGGGCTCGTCATTGGGTCATTGTGGCAACTCTCCCCCCCCTCCCCTCCCCGGGAAGAGGCTGAGATAAAAGGCTGAGGTCATCCTGTCTCGAGTAATGATGAGGTGGTGCGTAAAAGAGGGAGGGAAGAGCACTCACCGGCCTGCGTGTGTGCACATACATACCCAGCTCCATTGGCGTTTTAAAGAAGAATGAAATCTGTTCCAGCACAGGCTTTTCCTGAGTCAGGGCTCACTTCCTCAGATGCACAGAGAATGAATGTTAGGCTTTTTAAGGGACTCCTCTGGTTTTTGTTTTGCTGCTACAGGCGTAACACGGCTACCCCTCTGGGAAATGCATAGATCTGCGCGCAACGATATACAATACATTAGTTAGGGGCTGTTGGAAGAGGAAGGTTGGAGAGTTGTGTCTGTGAGTCTTCACATTTGTCTGGGGTGCAATGGGTGGTAGAGATGAGACTGAAATGCTTGGGAATTGGGTGCTCTTTAGTGGAAAGAAGGGTCGCGTTTAGCCCAGGGAAACGAAAGATCCTGCATTCAAGGAGAATTTTTTAAATCAGTAGTACTCTAGGAAGGGGAGCTTGCAGTGTAGCTTCCTGGACTAGATGGGAAAGTACTGGTCCATAAAAGAGGGTTGTGGCAGAGGTTCAGTCTTCTTATGATGTCTTTTGTTTATCATTGCCAGCCTTGGTGACTGTGGGAAATGCTACTTTCCCTTCTTTCCTACAAGCAGCCAGAATTTTTCATCTGCGTGTTTTTATTGGGGAAACCATCGGATCCGTTCCAAAGTGACAAATTCCAGAGCTATGTTAGTCTGCTACAGCCCCCCCCCCCCCCATCTTGTGGCTCCTTAAGGGGCTCACAAACTGATTTGTGGCATCACTGTGTTAGTCTTCCGGGGCCCATGAGACTCTTGGCCCTTGTGGGCCCTGGAAGCTTGAAGAATCACGTGAGGCTGTTTTGCATCCTCTTTCTACTAGGAAGAGCCATGGCTGTGCCCTGCTTATGGACAGTTATTTACCCAGTTTCTTGCTTGTGGTATTATCAGAAATAGCTAGTAAGTCAGTACAATATTAAAATATTTCTACAGCTTGAGTAAACTCAACAGCAGGCAAACCTTGATTTTTCTATGACTTTTCAGGTATGAGTATCAGCTAAAAGGCCACTTTAAGAGCAGTGCAGGACTTCATAACTGTACACAAATCATGGCCAAAAAGGGTTATATAATGATTGTTTAGTGGGTCTGTCTTAAGAAAAAACTTTTCTCAAGAAATACAAGATAGCTGGGCTGGGTTTGTTTGTTGTTGGTTAGTTATACTTTGTAACCTGCCTCTCAACCAGAGAACTAGTTTCCAGGATGACATATTAAAATAATGAAAACACCATAAAGTACAGATTCAGTCAAAATCCTGAAACAGCAGAGAAATAGCCGCCAGAAGCATTAAGAACATTAAAACCCAGTGAATTAAGCAGCAAAGTTTCTCAAAGGCCGGAAGAAGCCAGACTCCAACAACAAGCCCTGCTGCCGGGTGCTGGTAGGGATGCCCCCCCCCCCCCCCCGTATAATTGTGGCCTTAGTTAGGAACCAATGATTGTGTGTAAGCTGCTCAGAGACCCTTTGGGGTTTGAGCGGGATATAAATTGAATGATAAATAAATAAATAAAAGCCTAATAAGCAATAATTAAACTACTGAGTGAAGAGTGGGAGCAAATAGAACAGAACAATCTTCCCTTAAAAACTTGGGAAGACAGACAAATGGGTCTTCACCCAATGGCAGAAAAGCAGGAGATCTGGTGCCAGGTGAGCCACCAGAGGAAGGTCATTCCCAGACTGGTTTTTCCAGCAAAAGGCCCTGTTCCTCATGGATAGGCAGGCACAGGCTAGGCATCCATACTGATTTTGAGGATGGGTGTTGGGATTGGGTATGTGCTCCTTGGATCTACAATGTTTGAATCCTGGGTGAAGACAAAAGGGGCCCTGAGGCTGATGAACTCACAAAGGGATGAAAGGCCAGGAAGCATATAGAGTAGGCCAGATTCCACACCAGATAACCTGATTTCATGTTCATCCGGCAGACTTGCAGACACATGAAATGTGCCAACAGCACAACTTATTTTTTGTGCCTTGAATACTAGGAAGTAGCTACTTTGGTAGTTGGCGGAAGATCTTGATCAGACAGTTCAAGGTTTGGTGGCATGGATCCAGCCACCCATGCATGGAAGACACACGGAGTTTTCACATGTTCCTCTCAGTTCTTGCAGCCCCTTCTGACATTCAGAAAGATTATTCCCAGAATTGTGGGACTTGTGCTGAGGAACACCCAAGCTAGTCAGTGGACTAGAGTGAGGAGGGACAAGGTGGTTAAATTAATCCCTTTATTTAGTGGAGCTACAGTAGAGGAAGGAGGAGTGATTTCATCCCCTGTCCTTCATACTAGTCCCCCAGCTCATGTGGCTGTTCTTCCTTGTAGGTCCTGCAGCCCTGAGAATGCACTTTCCAGGGTTTAGCAAAGGCTGCAGGAATAGAGAGGAACACAGGAAAACTTCGTTCCATGCATGAAATGGTTGGATCAACACTGGTTTATCTAGTTACTCTTGTAGGGTAGAATCTGCTTGACTGGTGTTCTCCAACGCTACTTAAATGGGACTGTTCAGGAGTTAGATGGAAATGCTCATACCATGCTGCTAGAGAGAAAGAAAAAATGAAGAAATGCGAGAGAGCAACTCCTTGAATTTTCCCCCCTTTAGGTGAAAGCCTTGGCTTCTGAGCTCTGTTTGTTGGCTCTCCAGGGCAACTGGGTGCCCACTGTGTGCAACAAGCTGTTGAAATAGATGGGCCAGTGGTCTGGTCTAGCAGGACTGGTCTTGTTTTTATACAGGATGAATCAATTTCCTAGTCATGGCGACCCCAGCAGTTACGGTTCAAGCCTGTATGAATTTGCATAACACTGCCCTTTCATCTGTTCTGTTTCTCAGCCCCATTGCAGTGTGATGAAATGCTGGGAACCAGCTTGTGATAGAGAGTGGTATGCAGATAATTAAAATAACTCGATATCTAGAGGAATCTCCTTGTTATGACTGTTGGAGGACCTTGCAAAAACCATCTAAAATAGAAGTATATTGTCAGTGTGAAGGGTTCTGGTTTGAAGTGCTGCATGTTTCACTAGCTGCAGATGGTAGTGGTTTGATCATGGATTTGATTAAGTGGCAGAACAGCAACTAGAAATAGCACAGCCTAAGGGCCAAACTCGATGTCATGGAGTCCTTGCGTCCACCATGGGGATGCCGCCACCTTCTCGAAGCCTAAAATGGTGGTTTAAAAACGGTGCGAGGGCCTGAGCCCTGTTGGGTCTCCTGCAGTGTAGTGGGATGAGGTGATAAGGCCCTATCAGGATCAGGCCCTTGCACCATTTTTAGACTGCCCATTTGAGGCTTTAAAATGGTGGTAGCATCCTCATGGTGGACACAAGGGGTTATTTCCCACAAGCGCTGCTCCACGCTCACTCTTCTCTTTGGCCCGATGGTACGTGTCAATTTCACACAAGCCGCTGCGCGACCGCATTTTGCCCTGCAGCTTTGTGCGATTTTCCCTGCGTCTACTCAGTTCTGTTTTTTTTTTTTTAAACGGTTTATTTAACATTTTCTGTAGTTTACATACAGCATTCGTCTTACATTTTTTTATCCTTGTGAGTCTTTTCTAATTACATTATCAATCCATATATAAAATGGTTTCCATCGATTTTCAAATATCTCCTTATCTTTTCCTTGTAATCTCAACGTTAATCTATCCATTTCTGCTAAACCCATCATTTTTTCGATTAATTCATTTTCTGAAGGTACTTTCTCATCTTTCCATCGTTTAGCTAGCAGTATTCTTGCTGCCGTAAGGAAGTATATAATTACATATTTCTCTGTACTATAATACATGTCTGGGATCATGTTTAATAAAGCTGTCTCTGGTTTGAAAGGTACCGGTAATCCTATTATTTCTTTTAACATTCGGAAAACCTTTTCCCAGTATCTTTGTACAATATCACACCTCCACCACATATGCATAAATGTGCCAACATTTTTTTTGCAATCAGTTCTGTTTTTTGAGGACTGTGTAGACGCGGGGAAAATCGCACGAAACTGCGGGGCAAAATGCGGCCGCGCAGCAGCTTGTGTGAAATTGACACGTACCATCGGGGCAAAAGGGAGGAGTGAGCATGGAGCAGTGCTTGTGGGAAATCACCCAAGGACACAGTCACGTCTTCTTTGGCCCTAAAAAGCATCTTTCTGGTTTTCAGTACATCCGAGGAAATATCAGTTGCCCACAGAGCTGCTGCTGATCTCAAAATTCTTAAAGAGACCCCAAATAGTTGTTATTGTCCTAGAGATCATGAGTGCCTGTGAGGCAGAAAATTCCAAAAGGTGAGCTGTCTATTAAAAGTTGTATTAAGATCAAACCAGCTAGCGCTCTTGGAAGGGGTGGGGCATGGAAAGCTGAACCAGAGAGAGCGGCCTTGCGTTGCAATGGATGATGCATGTGGGTGTGGAATATCTTCCGGTGTTTTCTCTTCAGGGCAAGAAGATGTAGCTCAAAATATCTTGCTACGTCTCGTTTACTTTTATTTAATTTTTATTTGTCCCATAGGCTCAAGTCAAGTTTGAATAGCTTTAAACCAGTTAATACCGCTAAAAATGTAGCATGAGTTACGGGTTCATGGCCAATGCAAGCATGCC